GTGGTTTAGTCCGGGATCCGGAGCCGCCCCGAGGCGGGGCTGGGCCTCGGTGGCGGCCAATGGCGCCCTGGGTGAGGGTGGAGGCGTGGGAGGTACTGGGCTGCGGTGCGCTGCTGGTGCTGCGCGTGTGCCCGGCCGCCCGGTCGTCATGGAGGAGGTATCGGCGGAGGAGCTGGACGATGAGGAGCAGCTGCTGAGACGGCATCGCAAGGAGAAGAAGGAGCTGCAAGGTGACGGAAGGGGGTCCTGGAGCTAATGGGAGCGTAGCGTCTGTCCTCGTGCGCCCGAAGGGGCCGCCGGCACGGAGCCCGGGCTTCTCCGGCTTCCCTCCCGCCTCGCTCGGGCCCCCATGTGCGGTCCTCGGAGGCGCCCCCTGGGCGGCCTGCTGTGGACCCCGAGCCAGTGCCTGGCCGGTGCTGCTGTGTGATGCGTCCTGAGACCGAGGTCTTGTACCTCCTCTGCCCCCCCCCCTTCCCACTCCTGCCCGCCTCCTGCCACTTTGCCTCAGTGATGTGGTCTGAATCGCTTCGCTTTGTCCCGACGGCCACAGAAGAGATAGTAGAGAGGCAGAGATTTTATAGTCAATAGATGAATAATTTTTTTTTAACTTCATTTTCCCCTCTCAAACGAATTCGATTCAGAGTTGTGTTTACGAGGTGTGCGTTGGGGTGGGCCTTTCTCTGTGGTTGATTATTGTGTCATGACTAATTACTTCTATAATTACATTCCGTTCTATAATGACACCCCTTCACCTCTGATGACTGCTTTCCACTCTCTCTTCCCGGGGCTCTGACACGGTGGGTTTTTGGTAACTTTTTAGCCAAGATTCAGGGAATGAAGAACGCTGTTCCCAAAAACGACAAAAAGAGGCGGAAGCAGCTCATTGAAGATGTAGCTAAGTTGGAGAGAGAAATGGAGCAGAGACACAGGGAAGAGCTGGAGCAGTTGAAACTGGCTTTCGCGGAGAGTAAGGTATGGGGAACGCCGCTTGTCTCTGAGCTTGGTGAACAGCTTACTGTGTACATCATCAAAACTGGGAGTGGAACCCAGACATGCAGCCACACCCACCCATCACAGTTCATCATTACTAATTTCTGAGACAAAATCATGTAGTTCACGCTGTCGCCCATCCGGCTTTGTAGCAGAGGAGGATAACCTTGAACTTAGTGCCTACTGGCTGGGCCCCCAAAAGCGCTGGGATTACAGGCAGGCACCACCACAGCTGGCTCTGTTTTCTCAGTATTTTGTGACCAGATTGGTTTATTTATTTTTTTAAGAGAGAGCAGCAAAGAAGTACCTACTTCCTGAACCCAGTGATGTATCAAGTGTGCTAGAGAAGGTTTCTCTTGAGTGAAAGCTGGAGGACTAGATTGCCTGTCAAGGATCACTGGTGGATAAGATTGTAACCTCTGAAAAGTTACTTACTCAACCTGAGAATAGATTTCTCTACATACGGCGCAGTGATGCAAATGCTTTTGTGTATGGTTACAGGTTCCGATAAAAACCAAACGGGCCAAGAGATGTGAAGTCATATTTAAGTTATAAGAAGTGCTTTATGAACCAGTTGTAAGGAAAGGAGTTTTACAGATGCTCCTCGTGTAAATGGGAGCCTGCTAACATGCATCTTTTCAGTGTCTATCATCCTACCCAGTATATGTCAGTATACTGTTAACTGTTACCGCGACAGCCAGGGCTATACAGGGAAACCCTTTCTCGAAAATACAAACAAAACCAGGCCCTTTTTAGACTTTATGTGATAATAATTTGTTGTGTGGGTTCTGAATATGAAGAGTCTAAAGGAACAGTCTAAAGGAACTTCTTAGCTATATGCACAATCTCATCTTGTGTAAGTTTTCATCCATTTTTGTTCCATTGACAAGGGAAGAGTTTCTGTGTGTCCATTTACACAGAGTATTAAGTATAGTGTCAAAGTCTTTAATGAATTATCCAGTCATCATGTTCCTGACCTTCCTTACTGTTAAAGTACTTTTATCTCCAGCCTGGCATGGTGATACATTCCTATAGTCCCAGCACTCAGTACGCAGAAACAGGAAGGTTGTGAGTTTGAGGCCAACCTCAGAGCAAGACCCCTATCTCAAAACCCAAGACTCCTATTTCAAAACCCATTAACAGCAACAGAAGGTGACAAGAAAACTTTTGTCGGGGCTGCCAGTATAGCTAACCAGGTTGGGGTGCTTGCTGTTAGGCCTGATCATCTGAGTTCTGTCCCTAGAACCCAGCCTACACAGAAGAAAGAGAAAACCGCCTCCCGTAAGTTGTCCTCTGACAGCCACATGCGTTTTGGCTTACGTGCACACACGCACACACATAACAAACAAGCGTGCTGTTTTAAGTGCTCAGTCACGGGAGCGTTGTGCTGTTCCCAATTTTCTCCCTGTGCTTTCTAGTAGCAGCGTGTTTTGTGTGCTCTCTTAGGCTTTCAATTTCAAGATTACCAAAGAGACAGAAAAATTTGATTCATGACAAATTGTCCGGTCTGCCCTAACTGCCCTCTTTTTCATTAACTTAAACTTGTTTCCTCTCCTCAAATCCAAATTCTTTTTTTTTGTTAATATGGTGTGAATTTTGGCAGAATAAACAAATCAAAAAGAAACTAGTGAAAAAAGGATAGAATCAATGAAGTTGTTCAACGACTTGAAGTTTATCAGATTTTGATAATTTTATCACTTGGGCCATAGTCTTTGGAGACATGTGCATCTGTTTCCACTGCTTTGAGTTTTAGATATTTATCATACTAGAAGCTAGCTTGACTTCCAGTGGTGAAGTACTCCCTGTTAGTCAAGTAGAAGACCTTTTCTTTAGCAATCTTAACATTTGAATTTTAGGGCTGAGTATAGTTGTTGATGACGTCGTCAGTCTGTAGTAGGAGAAGCAGCTAGAAAGGTTCGGTTCTAGCCTCAGGACGTAGTGCTCATCACGTTCCGTCTGACTGGCTGGGGACGTGACTCTGTAGTCACCTTACGGACATGAAGGTAGTGATGAGCTCAAATATATTGTAGATGTCAGCATTCATGACAGGTGCCCTGAAGAGAAAGTGAGGTATTTAGAGTAAGGGAGTAGGTTCACGAAGACAGAGGTATGTAGAAATGAGCCTTGTCTTTGGAGAGCTATGAAGAATCTCAGCCATTTTACAAATTCATCCGTGGAAATAGAGAAACATGACAAAACCATACTATCTAATACTGTGTCTGGTGTTGGTGCTCAAACTGGAGGTAAGGGATTGGGAGCACTTTAAATTTTCAGTAATAATTTATAGCCTAACACTTGAAATAAGTTAAGCTTTTCTTTATTAATTTCTTTCTTCTTTCTTTTCATTTTTTTTCCCTTCAGATAGATTCTGTCGCTGTTAACATTTCAGACTTGGTACTTGAGAACCAGCCACCTCGGATTTCAAAAGCACAAAAGAGACGGGTATGAAAGTCATATCACCAAGTATATAAGCTAGTGATCAGTACTTTCTTCGATGGTGTATAAGAAAAGATTAGAAAAACAATGGAGTTCCTTGTCTAGGGACCTGAACTAATGTCTAATAAGTGCTTGTCATTTGCCAGTTTCTGAACTGTTTATATTGAAATCTCATTTAGTCCTGACAATAATCCTGTGATTATTTCCTTGCCTTCTAAAGAAGATGACAGGTATAAGACAATGAAAATACAAATGTCTAGTTTGCAGTTCTTCTAGAAAGGGAGGATTGTGTTTTTCTTAGACAAATACATTATTGTAAGCTTAATTTAGAAATTTAAGAGACTGGGGTCATATGACTGATGCACAACCCCTTTTAAAAATTAGTGCTCAGGGGGCTGGACAGATGGCTCAGTGGATAAGCGCTCAGACCACTCTTAGGCGACCTGAGTCCCATTCCTAGCTCCTGTGTGGGGCTGCCCACAACCATCTATAACTCCAGCTCCAGGGAGACCTGATGCATCTGGTCTCCTTGGGAACTTGCACTCACATGCACATACCCCAAAATACACATAATTAAAAAATAAACTTTAAAAAATATTTAAAAAGTTAGTGCTCGGGGGTGAAGTGAAGATTTGAACTTAGAAATACAATAAAACGTGCAGGGACCCAGAGTTCTCAGATGCTGTTATTTATATAGTGGTTAGTTACACTAAAAATTCAGAGAAGGCAAACTTCCTTATGTCAAGTGTTAATGATGTGTTACAATTTGAAGGAAAGATGAATGTTTAGATACAACATTGTACACAGAGAAATAACACAGTGAAAACAAGTACGGGGCCCTAGATGCTCCCCAACCCTGGGTAAGGCTTGCAGTTCTCTTACTCTCATGACTTTGCATTCAGTTTCAATAGTACATAGGGGAAAATAATACCTACATTATGGAACTGTTATGGGTGTTAAGTAATAACTTGGGGCCTGGAGAACTCATGTTAGCAAATGGTAGCGTGTTTACTTTTTTTTTCCCTTTTTTTTTTGTGTGTTTACCATTTTAAGTGTATCATGTTCTTCTTAAAAAGTTAGGCCTGGGCATGAAAGCTATGTTGCAAATAGTCAAACATTTATCATATTTGTATGGAATTTTACTCTTGATTGATATTGCCATTGTGAATTTTTGAGGAATGCCTTAGACCACCTGCTGTCTTGAAGGGTTGCTCTAGGTCGGCTTCCTACTTGTGACAGCCGTTCTTTCTGCCACTTTCCTTCCGCATGTCAGCACAGGTGTTTTGTACGCCAGGAACAATTTTTAAAAATTATTTGTATTTATTAATTGCTTCATTTATTAGCCTGTTTAATTGTAAAAGCCAAAGCTGTAACTCCTGTTTATCAATACCTGTTTATCCCTACCTAGATCTATTGTCCTTAAAAATTTGTTATGTCTCTCTTATCTGAACTTAGTACATTTTCCAATTACACTCTGAAAAATTTAGTGATACTTATAGTTTACTGCTTTATCACCTGGCAGAGGAAATTTTCCCAGTTTATTACTTTGTTAATCTAGTGGACGTTTGGAGCAGAGAACACTAGATATTCACAATGCTTAATGGAATGGACCCTGAATTCAGAATGGGCAAAATTTACATCAGGTTATTTAGAATTGTTCTTTTTGCCAAAGCACCAGGGATTAAGATGCCAGTTAACCACTGGTGGTCATTTTTAATAGAGAGACAATTCTGGAAGAAAGGCACAGCAATTTTATGGTGATTATCATAAGACTCTTGGACTCTCTTACTTTTAATTTGGGGAAACATAGGGGCATTTTATTAAACTCAGGAATTTGTGGCTGGCAAGATGACTCAGCAGATAGTGTTGCTTGCTGCCTACCCTGAGGATGTGAGTTCAGTCCCTGGAACCCACGTGGTGGAAGTAGAGAAGCAGCTGCTTCAGATCACTGCCTCCCCCCCCCCAAATCGTCGCCCTACCCCCCCCAATCACTGCCTTCCCCCACCCTAAATCGTCGCCCTACCACACCAAATCACTGCCTCCCCCACCCCAAATCGTCGCCCTACCACACCAAATCACTGCCTCCGCCACCCCAAATCGTCGCCCTACCACACCAAATCACTGCCTCCCCCCACCCCAAATCGTTGCCCTACCACACCAAATCACTGCCTCCCCCACCCCAAATCGTCGCCCTACCACACCAAATCACTGCCTCCCCCACCCCAAATCGTCGCCCTACCACACCAAATCACTGCCTTCCCCCACCCTAAATCGTCGCCCTACCACACCAAATCACTGCATCCCCCCACACCAAAGAAAAAAACACCAAAAAACCAAAAATAAAGGTAGAAATAAAATAATTGGTTTCCAAAATAAGGAGTTTGAGAGGTAGGATGAAATCTAGTTTTTTTATTTTACAAATAAGATGAGACCTCGGTTATCTCAGTGAGAGGGGAAGTAGGGTACAGACGTGGACTAGAGCCCAGATCAGCGTGGCTCTAGTTTTCCTAGCAGTGTGCTTGAGTTTCGGGCTTTTGTCTTCCGTCTCTTTTTTTTTTTTTAAATTAGACTTTATTTCCATTCTGTCTCAAGTACTATCTTTGTAGAAAAGTGCCTAATGTTGGAAACTCCCACAGAGACAAGAATTCAATGGATTCCCATTTGCTTTTTAGTTATGAAGCAGATCATTATGCAAGAGAAGATAATGATAGAAATTAATATTGTGGAGACTTACAGACTTGGAAGACAGGTTGAAGTTCCATTCTGTCAGTAAATCAAAGTGAATGACTCAGGTGCCATCTGCTCCCACCTTGTTTCTGGTTCAGGGGCCTGCATAGAAGGGGCTCTGTGTATTGTCTCCGGTCCCTGCTGCGCTCTGACCAGCTGTATGGTCTTTGGAAATCTTTCTGCGTGCTGTTTCCTCAGAAGAGAAAAATGGGGGGTTTGGATTAGTTGATGTCTACGGTGCTTGTTCTTCCTCTCCCCACAAACTGGTTTTAGTTTTTTATAAAGTCACAGTGCCCCTTTGTGTTTAAGTTTTTATACCCAGGTGCATGTTTGCAGTAAGCACGCTGTTGTTCTTATGTTTAAACTGGAGGGAAAGTCCTGTGCTGGTCTGTGTTTGTTAGTGAGCTGTTACTGCTCCCACGTGGCCCATCATGACAGTCATTCAGTGTACAGAGCTGTGCTCCTGCTCTGCCCCAGGGGACTGAAGACAGTGTGAAAGTCCATGCCTTCTGTTAAAATTGCTTTACCATTTTTCCCCTCTGTAATTTACTAAATCAAGATTTTCAGGGTTTTGAAAGATGATTTAGTGGTCAAGAGCACTAGCTGCTCTTCCTGAGGATCTGGGTTTGATTCCCAATCCAGGGATCAATCATCTGTAACATTAGTTCTAGGGATCTGACACACACACACACACACACACACACACACACACACACACGCACACACACACACACACACACCCCACCCCAACCCTGCTGGTTTCTGGAAACTACATGCATTTGGTGTGTAGACGTACATGGGCGCAAGTACTGATACTGTGCAATACAGTAAGACAAATTAAAAAACATTGCAAAGTTTAGTGAGGTTTTTTTTTTTTTTTCTCTTGAAGGGCAGTTTTCCTCCAAGTGCATAAATACACCCGTGGCTGAGATTAGGAGGTTGTAGAAGCACAGTGACAGCCTCCAGACACCCTGTCCTACCATCCATAAGGAAGCGCAAATGCTGTGATTGCATCTCAGTTTTAGCACAAACAGTATTTGTTAATGACAGGCCTGTCTCTAGCCAGCAGCCTCACCTCCTGATGCTTTTCTCTCATATACTAGTTCTGTGAATTGTTCTTAGCTGTGAAACATGGGTGTTCTCTGGCTTGTGATTCTTACTAGCTCAACTATTGGGGCGTTTTCCTTCCCCCCAATTTCCCACTGCACTTGGTAAGACCTCTCTTATTGATGTCACTGAACCCTACAACAGGCCGAGATATTCAGTCATGGGAAAATCTCAAGAATTCCTATTTCCTTGTTTAAGTAAGAAAGCAAATTATACTATATAAAGAATAATGTCATTTTTGTTACAAAGGATGTGCCACGTTTTCTGTAATTGTGTTGTGTTTATTACAGTGCATAGAAGAAGAATTTGGGATGCTATATACCCAGAATTTTAAAGAACACTAGGATTTAGAGGATTTTAGTCTACCTGTAATACTTGAATTATATGTAAGCAAGCTTTTAAAAAATCTTTAAGTTTATTAGCTATATGTATAGGTGTTATATCTACTTTAAGAAAATAGATCAAAGTAGAGTCTGTCTGTACTCTTCTGGTGGTTTTAACGTCATAAATCTACTGTGGCAGAGTGATACAACCTTGGGTTATTCTGGGCTTCAATATGATCCTGTACTTTAAGGCTGAGAACAGTTGAACCTTTTTATGTTCTTGAGATAGGATCTTATTTGGTAGCCCTGGCTGTCTTGGAACTCACTCTGTAGCCCACACAGGCCTTGAACTCACAGACATGCACCGTTACACTCAATGATAACTAAATCCTAAGACAGTAATTGGAAATCAACCAGTCGAGTTGTTGATATATTTTATTTTATTTTTTTTTTAATGTGCATTTATAGCTGTGCAAGGGTGTTAGAAGTCCTGGAATTGGAGTTACAGACAGCTGTGAGCCGCCATGTGGGTGCTGGGAATTGAACCCAGGTCCTCTAGAAAAGCAGGCAGTGCTCTTAGCCTCTGCGCCATCTCTTCAGCCCATGTTGACATGTTTTTAAATAGACTTTATGCAAATGCCAGTAATCCTAACACTTGGAAGACTGAGATCGGAGGATGGAGAGTATAGGCTCCATAGCAAGACAGTGCCTCAAATAAGTCAACAGGGGATAAGCAGAGTCCGGAAGAAGGAAGAAGGTCTCCTTTTGCTTTTTCCTCTTCTCTCTCTTCCCCTCGCTTCTCTGGTCCTTTCTGGTCCCCCCTCCCCCGTTTTCTTTTGTTTTGTGGGACAGGCTGTCTGTCACATGCAGACCAGTCCAGGCCGTCCTCAAACGTGTGATCCTTTGATCAGCTTCGCTAGTTGGAATTGTAGACCCATGCCACTGTACCTGGCTTAAGACGGGCTGTTTTATGTGCTGCTATAGAGTGAGGTACTGGAAACACGGGCCAAATGAATGAGATGATTTTCCTCTAATGGTTGTAGTCAAAAAGTTCTACAAATAGATGATCAAAATGACAATGCTTGTAGAAGAAAGAAAATGGCAACACGTTTCCAAATGTGAATTCATGATAATTATCAATTAACTTTCCTATATTCTTTTTGTAGGAAAAAAAGGCTGCATTGGAAAAGGAGCGGGAAGAAAGAATAGCTGAGGCTGAAATTGAGAACCTGGCTGGCGCCAGACATGTGGAGAGTGAGAAACTCGCTCAGATACTGGCCGCCAGAGAATTGGAAATCAAGCATATTCCATCTGATGGTCATTGTATGTACGGAGCTCTGGAGGATCAGCTGAGGGAGCAGGACTGTGCCCTGACTGTGGCTGCCCTCCGGAAGCGCACTGCTGAGTACATGCAGAGCCACTCAGAGGACTTCCTGCCCTTCTTAACAAACCCCAGCACCGGGAACGTGTATACTCCAGGTAGTTTAGTTTGCTACCCTACATTTTCTGGTGGTTCTGGTTTTCAAATCCAGTGCTTCTTGTGTGTGTCATGTAAGACCTTTCTTATGAAGAATAAAGATCATTAAAATGTAGACAAAATTATTTTCTATAATTTGAGTAGATACAGTTATATTTTACTTTATCTCTTAAGTACTTATTTTTGTAGTTAAAATATGTTAGTTGCTATAAGTAAGTCATTTAAAAAATTAGGAGTAGAATTAGCCATTGTGGAAAAATGTGTGTTAATTCGTGTTTAACAGAGTTAGAGGGAGCTGAATTTTGATCAGTGTTTGTGAGTGTGCATGTGTAGGGCTTCAAGGCCGTGAGCAAACAGTGACGGGAAAGTAACTCAGTCATGCTCAGAAAAGTATTGTGTTTCTTTCAATAAGCTGTAGCTAGGAAGGTTGCTGCTTAAGTAAAATTTGGTTTCACAACCCTTCTTGAACAATATTTCCTTTTAAAAAAATAAATTGATAATTAAGAAATAATTTTTTAAGATAAAGTAAATAAAATTCACAGCTTGCCAAAAAAAAATGCAGTTTGTAAACAAGGGTGAGACCAAGTCAGAATCTGAAAGGGACTCAGGGCTGTTAATACGGAAGTGTAAGGAAGGTCATAGGTGCAGCAGTGTCTGTGGCCAGGAGGGGCTGGAGAAGGGGGTGCAGGCTGACTTCCTCCATGTATGAAGGTAAAGCGGAGAGAGTGGACGGATGGGCATGGGCAGTGGAGTTGGTCGTCTGGTGACTGAGGCATGAGTTAGCTATCTGTGAGTAGATCCCCAGTGTGGCTTCATGTTCATTAAATTTTTATTGAAAGGCATGGTATTTAGGTTTTATTTTTTTTAAATGCAGATTTAATGACAAGAGATTATTACATGGGGCATATTTTTCCTTTAGTTCTCATAACTTTTGTTCCCTTCCTTGGACAGGAAGGATGCTTGGCCCCATTGTGTGTGTATGGAAGTTTTGCCTGCATGTATGTCTGTGCCCCTTTTGTGAGCCTTATGTCCTTGGAGACCAGAAGATAAGGTATCAGATCATTTGTAACTAGAATTACAGGCAGATTGAGCTCTCTGATGGGTGCTGGGAATTTAACCCCAGGTTCTCTGGAAGACAGCCACCTGAGCCATCTTTCCACCCCATGTTAGCCATTTTACTGTGCTGCATTTAAAAGTAATGTGCCTCTTGTAAACTCAGAGATTGGGTCCTCTACTTCTTTCCGAGATTCAGAAAATCTCTCCCCTGTGCTTAAAGTGTCACTGATACAAATCATGTAGAGACATGTGAGATACAAATCATGTAGAGACATGTAGGATACAAATCATGTGGAGACATGTAAGATACAAATCATGT